GGTGTGCCTGAGTGTCCGTGGCCAGTTCGCTTGGGGCCAGATCGAATGGTGCCAGACCTAACCACTCGCATAAGGGATTGCATCGATGACTGTGAAAGAAGAAGGCCATACCGCGTGGACCCAAATTTCCGTCGCTATAACCGACACCATCAGAAGTATGAATCTGCGGGTNNNGTCGACCACGAGCAAGCGATGCCCGGAACGTTCAAATGTGAAATGACTAAATGCCTGAACCGGGAAAATAGCGTTGGGTAAAAAAAATTCATGTCGAACAGGAAATCAAAACCATACATTAAATTCGTCAAAAGAGTTTGTGGTCAGCGTCCTACAAACTTGCTATTCAAAAATGAGCGTTTTGTAACAAATACCGTTTTGGCAATAATTGTCTACCAATGTGCACACATTAAAACAATACGGCTAGCTGCTACCGGGGTCATAGTATTGAACAGATGAAAAACAGTGCTAAACTGAGGGCATATCACTCGGACGTTTTGTTGCTATAATTTTTGCAACCTGCTCGATAGTCACCATTGTAGACGCATTTTCTTACTTACTTAGGTTTTCAGTTTTTACAACCATTAACCGTGCATTTTCATGCGCCGGTTTTTGTTGCTCTATTTTGGCTGCTCATTTGGATAAAGGAGAATGAAGATGGAAATGTTGAGAGCAAAGTCAAAAAGAGGATAGAGAATACATACAGAATGGGATTGCGAGAATAATGCGTCCATGCATGAGCGCCACTGTATACGACACCTAGCCATGTCACAGTCTCGAACCACTGTTTACTACGATCTCGGGGTTCCCATCCATGGAGCCTAACGGTCATGTGACCAATATGACCCAGTGTCCTGGTTAGGGTTTTCACACCCTCATGCCAGGTTTTAGTTTGACCACCCTTGACCTTTTTTCATCCCTTGCCTGTCTCGGCAAACATTATGCGCTGTGGCAACCTATTTGGTAACATGCGCAACGCACGTCTCAACCACCAAATGTTCCAGTGGGTGACCGCGATTACTTAAAACTCTGCGTCTAACCTCAGCGTTGCTCATCCGGCTGCCCCATCAGATTCATGCAATGCTGTGTAGACAGCGGTGCTCAAACACTGACAGTCTATCTTTATCCTGTTTCCTTAATGGCCAAGTTTCTGCTCCATATAGTAGAACTGGCCGAACTGCTGCAGCATATACTCGACCCTTCACAGACAGCCGGATGTCGCGACGGCGCCACAGATGTCTCAAGTTGGCAAATGCCAAATGAGCCTTCAGTATGCGAGCTGACACCTCATCCGTGATGCGTCCATCCAGTGAGATATAGCTGCCCGAATAACAAAACTTATCCACTCCTTCTATTACTTCCCCAGTTAGATTGAGGTTGGGTGCTGGACCAACCCAATATTGTAGAAACATTTTACACTTTGAAGGTGCAAAACGCATATCGAACCTGGCTATACTAGCACTCAAACTATCCAGAAAAGTTTGCAACCTACCTGGATCTCCATTAAGTAACACACAGTCGTCTGCATACTCCTGGTCAGACAGTTCACCAACTGCGAGTAAATCGACGCCACTATCCTTGCACGAGGATAGGACAGTTTCAAAAATTAAATGGAAACGGAGAGAGAGAGAGGGCAACCCTGTCGAACACCACTCTCCGTGGTGAACTCGGACGAAAATGCGCCGTAAGCTCGGACTCGACTTCGGTTATTAGTAAAAACGGATGGGAATATTGAAATAAACTTCTCGAGGCAAGGCCAAGTTTTGAGCAGACGATTAGGCCGAATGCCACTCTCATATCAAGGAAGATAGAAATAGCAGGTCTACAAAAGGAATGTTTGCTCTGAAATTTGGTCTGTACAACCTCGACTAGGCCTAAAACCAGCCTGGCTCTCACGCGTGCACTATTCACTTGCGGTGAACAATCGACTGAGTACTATGCCAGCGAGAAGTCTGAAGACAATTTTAATCAAACTAATTGCTCCGTGGTTTTCACAAGAGGGTCTGTTACCAACTCACACCAGTTAGTTGGTACCTGTTCCCTTTCCCACACTGAGCCCAAGAGTTTTGTCAACTTCAAAGCTAAGACTGACTCTCCATTATTTAAGACCGATAGGGACAGAACATCTGGGCCAGTAGCTGGTTTCCCGAGTAAACTCTGTTTCGAATGGAGGACTGATATAAACACGGGTAATTACCCAGTCGATGTGGGGTTTGACAGGCCCAATGTGGATACGGGTCAGTTGAGTTAGGCCTCGAAATTTTCGGCTAATCCTTCAAGACGGCATTGCTGGATATGAACCAGTGTTCCATCGGATTTCTTAGTTATCTCACACCTACTTTCCTTGAGCTCATATTCCCAATGGAATGGATATTGTGACTGTTACCAATAGCCGCGACCTTCTCCATCTCTCTAAATTTTGCTACGCATCACTTCTGGTGGTTATTCTTCAGCCTGTTGTTGAGCTGGTATTTAGGAGGTTTACGCTGTCGGCTTCTAGTAAAGCATAAGTCGATGAGATCCATCCTTTGTACGTTGTTTGCGCGCTAAAAGCCGCCGTTGTTTTGATCGGAATTTAGATAGCTTCCTCATTTACCGTCCAGTGTTAATTAGGTCCTTCGGCTGGTGGTTACACTCAGAGGCGATGAAAAAGCTCCGCTTCGAAGACCGATTTGTGGCTGTCACTTACATTGCACTATAGGTATCCTTTGCCGGTGTCGTTGTTGCGGACATTTACCAGATGCAGGCAGAATATGGGTCGTGACAAAGCATGGTTCGTATCCACAGATAGTACCTATGCTCTCAACATTCCATTCTTCATTCTTCGCTTTTATCCAGATGGGCATACAAAAGGTAGAGAAAGAGAGAGAGTGGTAGTCTGGAATGGATTGCCACCAGCGGTAGCCGACGGCAATATGATCGATTTGTGTCTATTTCTATTAAGAAGTTGGAGGTATCCATGTGTGGCGGTGTCGTTCCTTGTGGGAAAAGTTGGTGTTCAATAGGAACAATCCATGTTGTGCACAGAGTTGAAGTAGGAGATTTCCACTGTCCGTGCGGTTGTCTGGGATTGCTTGCGGGCCACCCCGACACCTTCCTGATTCATCCAGGAATCTCACTTGAGGATTGAAGTCTCCAGCGGCTGCTACGCTCACTTTGGAGCAGTCGAGAATGATCCTTGTAGAATTCATCCTCGATTTCAGGTGCACTGTGATCGGCTGGTTGATACACGGACACGACTTATAAGCACCACCGCTTCGTTCTGTAGCTTTTGACCCGTACTGAACCGTCGAGCCGTACAGCGCGTAGTCGGTTACTGACGAATCCAGTCAAGAATTAATCGCCGAGCCTTGGTACCTGGTGCAGTCCCGACGTCAGCACCACGGCGAACGTCAGATGCCGAATCGACTGACACACGGAAAGTGAAGCGTGAGGATAATGTCGGATCTGGAGATCAGCAGGTGGTAATTGAAGTAAGGTCTTGTATACGCGTTTCGGAGACACCACATACATCTTAATTGAAAAGGCCAAGTGTTCTGGTTAAGGCAGTTTGTTGGCCGATCTCATAGATTGGGAACATTAATTGCGGTTATATTAAAAAGATTCCGGTCTTGATAATCTGCTGGCTTATGGTTAGCTGACGTTACTAGTTGAACGCGCAGTGACATCCCATGGGTGGTGCAAAAAAGAAGCATCTCGTACGTGAGTGAGAGGAAGAACGGAACAGATGCGACAGAGGGTTTTCCGAATGAGCATCCAAGACTTCGGGGCATAAAATACTTCGCGGTAGCTCACACTGATAAAGGTCTAATTCAGGTGAGAGGTCGGAAGGAGATAGTCACAGGGTAAACTACAGGGCGTGGGAGTAGACAACCTATGGCAACTGGTTCAGATACTGAGGGAGCGAAGCAGCAATCGCTAAGGAATACAGAAAATAATGTGGAGCTCAACAGACGTGGAGATGAGGCGATTAGGTAGGCATAATAAGTGTCTCGTTTCCCAGGGTGTGGTCCAAAAACTCCGTAACCAGTTGACCGGAGAAACTGAAAGACATGACAACGCATAGACAGCAGTGGTGTTCCTCTCCATTTCTTATCCGATCAGAATGCTTGAGAAGGTATGTATGCACCGTTAGACTGTGTACTTTGTGTTGGCTATAGAGTCGGTTTGTTTCCTTCGACATCAAAATGGGCCTAATCCCTATCCACCTTGCACGCTCTCACTTGCCTTGAGTGCACCAAGTTTATCAGTGAAGCTCACTTTACTGTATTCCGCTGTACGATGATGTCTGCTTAAAAACAACACTGGATGGGGAGCAAGTGAAACTGGTATGGGAAATTAATAAGCGATTTTGATCACGGCTGTCTCAAGATAAATAAGTAGTTTCAGTTTCACAAACATTGACCGTTCACGTTCGTGCGCCGGTTTTGGTTGCTATCCTTTAACCGCCCATTCGGACAGAAGAGCAGAATGAAGATTGGAATGTTGAGAGCGGAGTCAAAGGGACGGAATATACTAACCAGAAGCAAAAACATCTACCTAAACGGTTGTAAAGATCGACCAGACAAGCGACGTACTTAGCATTCCATTCAATACTAAAAAACGGAGACCATTAAGTACATTTAGCAATATAACACCCAAGTTGAACAGGGTTAACGGAGTCAGATAACCTCAATCATCACCACAATCGATTTGAACAGTTACCACGTTGCTACCCTCTGAAACGAACGGTTCATTTCTTAGAGGTCTCTATTCGAAACCCTGTAAGAGTAAATAAAGAAAGCTATATGCACTTTGGAAATGAGTCCGGGTTACGACTTCTACCACTAGTGACCTGATGGCAACTGAGAAACGTAAGCATCTGCTTACAGATCTATACCAGAAGTCGACTCTGCATCACGAAGAAACCAGTAGCATTTCACTTGGGGTATTTACAAAAGTAGCTGTAAATCTCCACAAACTTCAGTCTAGAAAACGGAATGAAAAGCATCATATAAGGAAATGTTGCAAATTTGAAAGTAGCCCTATTAGTGAAGCTGATGATATTCTTTACTTATTAGGTTGATCAATGGGTGATTCTCACCTGAGGCGTGTTCCGTAACTGTTCATCCACAAATCCCGAATTCGAGTTATACTTCCGATACTCGCCTTCCATGTACCGTTCCACATGATAGAAACAGCTTGACCGAACGGACGCTGACGGAGAGTCCCCTGCACCTCCATCGACTGGGTCACAACCGTGTGTGTAAGCGCCATTCAACTCCAAAACCGACAACTGGAAAATGTCCACCTGAAAGACGTTGTCGAAAACAAGTGCAAAGTGGATTCGCTCAATTTTTCTATTTCCAGGGAACTTCTGTCCAGTCGTTCAGATACTACTTATGTCATATGGTAAGAACTTCAAGAATACTAAAGTTAAATCATATTTAATGAACACGCTGAGGTGCATGAAGAACGCAAAGACGAACGTAGGATTCCCGTCAAAAATGAAACAAAAGACAAAACATGTTTGGTTCACCACCAGGCCTAGTGTGACAAGGACTTGGTAGAAGAGAGCGAATTATATATATTTCACACTTGTCTGGGGACAGACTGTGTGTATGTGAGCGAATTACCATACCATATTTGTGTTGCATGGGTCACACGATGGTTAGGGGCATCTAACTCACTTTCTTCGGTGGATTCTGTCGATTGAACGCTTCGGCCCAAAGCTTGGCTTCCATTTGCAGACGCACATCATCAAAATAGACTTGTTTATCCACATTGTTGATATAACGTTTAGCTACATAGTTCGATGCGTACTGCCAATCGTTGACATGCGATCCAGATTGCGGGAGTTTTTTCCTGGGGAAAATATTATGCGTATGGACAGGGTAGTAAGTGCCAGAACTCGGTGTACTTTGCTCACTAAGTTTCGTCCTTACCGGAAAATGACTAGATGGGGGCCAACAGTAGATAAAGTATATAATGCCGCTAACAAGCTCGGTCGGATTGGTGATATACACCAAGAGCTTAGAGCACATGATTAAAATGCCGATGCATTACAACGTTGCATGCTTAATACATCAACAACGGATGTGAATATACTTACCCTGGTCCCCACCCCATTCCGGCCTCTTACCGAAGAAACTAACCGAATGTTTGCAGTATCACACACTGCTGGTCATAGAGGTTCCCCTACTTCTCACTGCTTCAAAATAGGCTCAATTCCTGTTCATCTACTTTGCGCATTATGAACATGAAAGAAATAGGTGCAGCTTGGCTCACTGTATTTTGTTGTACGATGACGAGAAAACGGTTGTATTGTTACGAAATCTATGAAAAGCCATTTTGCACAACCCAGTTAAGTTCGTTTCACTGCATTACGCTGTACAACGATGAAGCGACCAGGTATGTACCGTAATAAACAGACCAAGCGTTTATGCATTGAGCTGTACTGTCGGACTAGCCATCAGTTGAGAAGCACATTCATTTCGTGTAGTGTTCGCTCTATTACTAGGGGGCCAATTATTCAGTTAGTTTATGTGATGTAGCACATGGCTGAATAGTAAGGGTATACGAAATCTCTATCAAAATTATAGTCTGGCTTCAACATCACCAACTGTATGAATATAACTACTCTTATTGAAACGGGAAAAGGAATTAGGGCAATAACAGATGGAATCAAGCAGATGGAACGTACAGACGGAAACATTCACGCATTGCTCCACGATCAAACGGATCGTTTTCGATTTTGATCACTATCTCATCAACGACCCATTTTTTCTTGATCACACTGTAACGGTGTCTAATGGCCGTTTGTGCAGGAATCTGGTGGGTCTGGAAGTCTAGCCATGGATCCAAATCGACTGATTGCAGTTTCTTCAGGGCTCGTTTCCACATTTGAGCTGTAAAATAAATAGAGGTGATGAACCAAAATAAATGTGGAGATGAGGATGGCTTACTTACAAAGCCTCTGCTCAATCATGTCCTAACTACTCCGAGGCTAGCAGTATTTAGCACTGATAATAAAAAATCCTGCACAAACAGAACTGAAAGGGGCGAATAAGGAAAATTTGATAAAATTAACTATCACCGGACTTCTGAAAGAGAATGTATTCCATTTGATAAAACCTGAATTGTTTATACATTGTTTATACACTATCAAGCGCACGGCCTCATACGATTGTAATTATTGTGCGATGACTGATAAAGCATTGTATGATAGCTAACAAGTTAATTACATGCCTAGCTAACAAGCTAACAATTCGTCTATTAAACACAAGATTTTCCTCCGACAAAGAATTTTCCAACTTCAGTACGTCGATTATATCTCGTTTACTTTTACGCTGTTACCTCGTGTGGCAGGATGAGTCAGCTTCATGAATGCAATAGCCCTTAAGAGTCTTGCGAATTTGGTAAAAGACGACGTTCTCGATGACACACGAAGCAGCGTACTTCCCGATCGCCCAGAAGGGGTTACGGATCTTTTTAGGAAGTTTTATCCGGAGCCTTCGGTTATTCAAAGTCTAACTCACAAGGCACGGGAACAGTATGTGGAGCTACAGTTCCATGAATGCCGGTGACGTTATTCAGGTAGTCAGACACAGGTGACCATGAGCCCCAAAGAAAGCGACCGGTAGCAACAACCGTGAACGGCGATTAACTAGATTTCTGACGGCCCTGGATGTCAGCTAATGGCAAGGTAATTATTCGTTTTTCTCTTTTACCCCCACCTTGTGTGTAAGGGAGTTAGTGACTATTTATAAAAGATCAGTCACCTTGGGCTTTGTCACGGAACCTTCAGGGGGCTTGTGGTTTTTGCGGAAAGACGAGTGACCCACCTGTTAACCACCCTTCCCAAATCCTGATAGTAACGCTGCTGTTTGTTCACTATTGCTTAATGTCAGCCAGTCGTGACCTATTCGCAGTTAAATCTTGGCGGGGGTATCTTCCTATTCACAACCAGAGGACGCGCCTGTTAGCGTGCATCAATGCCTACCTTCTGGGTACCGTTGTACTCAGGAGCTTCATTGTATTCATTGCATCTGGGTTGATGCGTCAAGTAATACGGGTTATTCTGGCCTATTTCTTCAAATTAGTACTTAGTGAAGTTTAACTATTAAAAAAGAGCCGGGTGTCATTCACTGAACTGAAGAACAAACTTTGGTGTTAACGGTCAGCATCATCGTACAGCGATATACGGGGAAGCAAACTTCACTGATCGCTGCCAAACTCGCAATGCATATTCAGTGGGGTTTGATGGACGGGTATCGCTAGGGTGTCCAGTCACTAGGAAGGAGAACGATTGGGGTTCTCAACCAAAGCCTTTAGTTCTGACAAGAACCTAGCCGCAAGGCAGCGGGGGAAGCGAATAGGAGGCCCATTTATTTGGATCAATTTTTGCCGAGTGAAACGCCAATTCTAGTCGGCTTGACAAAAGCCATCCTGTGTAGCTCGTTGGGTCAGAGGTGCACAGGTCATTACACCACGTCAAGATGTGCTCTCGTCATGATGGTGGTGTTAACGGTGTACACGGTAACACCGTGTTCTCAGTTTTGCTCTAAGAATTTTCATGTGGAGAAAGTTCTTGGAATGAAGGACAGCCATCTGAATGTCTGGCTAGATATTGATGGGGTACAATGAGCGGTTTAACACCATGGTGCTATGGAATGCCAACAGAAAAATCACTGCAACAACGAATTCACACCAGCAATTATCGCTGGGTATGATACGCTATAGTGATAGGCGGCTTTGCCGTCGTCCGGTTCAATACCACGCCTAACCTAGTGGGGCCTTATGTGTTTCACCACTCGAAGTCCCGGGTCATAGGTTGCCCGCTTCTCTCACTGAACAGCAGGTCCTCGTGATTTATCCCGTCTGCTGTTCGCATTAAGGCGTGTAATAAAAAATCATATGTCCTCTGTTTGATAGTTTTACGTACCTGGTCTCATTGGATTGGCAGCTTCCAGGGGAGTATTTTCAGAGTTTAACCTGGAGGAATGAGTTGCAGATTCTTCTTCAGCTTCGGTCTCATTAAGATACCCCATCGTAGCATAGAGTTGGAGGAATGCTTTCTGGGGTATATCAAACTAGTCATCCGCTATCAAAGTAGCAATCAGGTACAGAAATCACCTGAAAGAAAAAGAAAAATATTGATTCCATGTGAGTTTTGGGGAAGTGATTTGTTAAGGCGATATATATTATGGAAACTGTTAGTGCCTTGCAAAGTGTTGCCTTAAAAATTAACTACCGCACAATATGCAGAAATAAGTTGTGGTTCTCTTTAGGGTTACTTTCTGTAATAGTACATATAAAAGCGAGTATAAGCCAATAGTAGTACCGCGCCGAAAGGGATGGTTTGCAAGATGTATAACGAGAGTCGGTTCACAAGAGCTCACGCGAGTACCCCAAATGTCCCTATCGAGAAACCACATGAAGCTGTATACATATGTATCGGCTTTCACGCTTGTTAGATAGTGATTGAATGATGCGTTACAAATGCTTGTACCGTGGGCTTATCCAAACACAAGACTGTTTCATTTAAAAGCTTAATCAAAAAACTCCCGCGTTCTTCAAGCTGTGCTATCCCATTATTTTTCGCACACGTTTGTGATATTTTGGTTCCTCTCACATGTATTATTAAATACAATGATGATATTGCTGTACCAAATTTGTTCTTTCTCTAAAAAAACTGTCAAATACGTTGAATTTGGTAGACTGTTGCATCCTTTTTGTCTAATTTTAAAGCTCAGGCAGTATTACAGTTGCCAACCGGTAATTCTTCAGGGGATTATGCCCGTTTTCTCAACCTCCGGTTGACTGGAAAATATATTTTTTCTGGTTAGCTTATGCCCCATTGTAAAGATTGTCAGTCAAGTTAATTGTGAAAATTTCAGATCATTACATAACTTCTTTTGGCAGCTATCAGTCAAGCTTCATACACCGTATTCCGCTGTGGGATGATTACGGTGACATAACTTCTTGCGTTGTGTACGAAAGGATTCTTATAGACTATGAACACTGATCGTAGGATGAATTAACGTCGTTTTATCCTTCAAAATGCTTGGAATTGTAACATAATTTCTCTTAAGGACATTTACCGAAATTCAACGGTACCTTAGGTTGCGGATTTACACATAGCGAAGAGTTAAAAGATGAACTCTGCCATAAACTTGGAGTATGGATTATTTTATGACCTCTCTGCTTGTCGCGCAAATTACTCAATGTGAAGAATGGTTATTAGTCTTTTCATCTTAGATTTCAATTTGCACATGAAACGTAGCAGCATAACACTTTGCCCCTAAGTAATGTTTCACTTGTATCAAGCCCCACCCCCACCCCTATGCATACTCTTCTCTCCAAATCCTCTGCTCTCTATTAAACTAATAACCAATGGATATGCAGATGCTTCTTTAGTACGGGGCAACTTATCCGTTTTTAATGGGCAACCGTTTATTGCAGCAGTGAGTCCGGTGTCACATCACACACTGGCCGTCTCCAAACGAGATTTACTGGAACCTTTATGGGGTTGAATAGTTGGGTGACATTGACTAATCAACCCAAACACGGTTGAACTGAAATAGAGAATGATCGATGGAAAAACTATAAACGATTCCAGGCAATCTAATGCTGGTGAACTGAAGTACCAAAATACCGAAAGACAGACGCACAGTGGAAGACCGACGCTCACTCGCGCTACAACCTGGAATCTCGTTGAACCGAGCCTGGAATCTGATTTGATTTCAACTAAACAAGTCTGCATCGTACTCTCCACGCGTTTTCATGGACGTACTATGTTACATGCATGTACCTGATGGTAACCCATTTCAATCTGCACTCTGTCGCAGGTGCAATGCAGCACTACACGGCGTATCGCGATATCCTGATCTACTATGGAGATACTATTTCAAATGCCTGCCCGTGGGACGTTCCACCGGTTAGCGATCGCAGCTCGACGCAATTTGTAATCATGTTTTTTATTATGCTCAGACTCACGAAATACATAGCAATAGAATATTTTTATGATATTGAAGGAAAGAACACCAACATTACTTACACGCCGCAGAGAACGCTGAAGCTGTGCTGAACACGGCGTGACGGATGGGTGCGAATTGCCCGTCCGAGTGATAGCTCAAGAACAAAATGAAGCGCTTTAAAAGGACCTCCCCAACTGTCTAATTACTTTTCTGTGCGTTCGAAGCCACGGAGGAAAATTCCTATTGAATAGCTTCACTTATGCTCGGAGATTGCCAATTTGTCTTTAACGATACATAGCAATCTGCCGATTGCGATAGCTTGCGGAACGTGCGCGCTTGGTTTGAAATATGTGAGCTACTCCCGCTACATAAAAATAAAAACTGTCTTTTTACTTCCTTTTTTAATCTATTAGATATACAAATTTACAGCCAACTTTCAAGAAGGGGTCTGCGGCCATTAAAAGGCTACCTGGGTAAATTAGGGATAAAGGGAAGATGGGCGGCAATGAGCGGTTTGAACCCGGGACACCCAGGTCATTAGTTGGTCACCTAACCACTTGGCATGAATACTAATGAAATATCTATCGATATTTCACACATTTTGCACTAAACTTTTTAGTGCTTACCATTCTAAGTGTTGAACTTCTTAACGATTCACAGAGATTACATCTGAGTCCTTTAAACATTTTATTGTCGTGTTCCCAAATCGCTTTTAGATATTTTATCCCTGTTCTCCAAATTATTGCACGTTTTACAATGATTTCTTCAGGGAGCGAAAATCATTGTGGAGGCACCAGTTGCAGTCCTTATGTAGCAGAGGTGCGGAAAGTGGTACTGTCAAAGGTGCTAACTTTCAGCTAAGTCTTGAAGTGCTGAAGCAATTCACGGGCTAGAGACCGTTACTCTTATGTCGCGAGACCATGAAAAAATGTGTTTTATTTTCGTTCGAATTTTTCAACAAAAGAGAGTACTGAAAAGGTATTAGTAGCCTTCCTCGCTCGAGGCGAGA